GCACTCAATGTACTGCAGAGCTGTTCATTAACTGTTTATATACAGAACAACTATGATGAGGCTCCTGCACAACATCCACTGGGCTTTGTCTGGAAGTTACCATAAAAACAAAAACAAAAAATAAAGTCTATGCTGCTACTTTCACAATCAGGGAGAGGGTGAATGAAACACCGGAAAGCTCTGCCTCCCCAAAAAACCCCATTTAAAAATAATGAAATGAGTCAGTGCATGAAGATGAGTGCAGGCAACAAAGGATTCCAGGAGCAGGGTTCAATAATCCATGCAGCAGATGACATAATGGGATTCATCTTACTCAGTCATAAATCTTCATTTGTGTGTGTGTACACACACAGTGTACTATACAAGCTAGACCTTCTCTGTTCTTACAGCCTGTTTGCATTTGAGCCATCATCAAAGTGCCTGATCAACTTGTCTTGCTGAGACAATTTAATTAGTTTACACAAACTAGACTCCCAGCAGGGAAAAAAGGGGAAGGATGGATAGTGGCAGAAAACAGGAACAGACGGAGATGGTGAGAGAGAGAGAGAGAGAGAGAGAGAGGCAGAGAGCACTCGAACCACCAAAGGCTTAATGAATCTGGTATCCCATGTTACTTCTGGATTCCGTTTTAAGCTCAAAGTACTGCACCCTCAGCAGCACCGCACCCCCCCACCTCAAATCTCTACTCAACACCTGACAAAGTAAACAATAATTGGAGATCTAATGAATGCTAATAATGACTGATAAGTACAATCTTTCCTTGAGGAGTACTCTAAGACAACGGTCCATATTAGCTTCATCTACCTAGTTAAGTTGAATAGTGAATTGTCTCTCAGTCTTTAGGGAGTCCTTGATTATCACATTTTCAGTAGCTGTGAATTTACATTAAGCAAGCGCTAAATGTCCCCTCCTTGAACCACCACCTTATTGTGATGGAGGGGTTTGAGTACCCGAGTGATCCTAGGAGCTATGTTGTCGGGAGCTATATGTCCCTGGTAGGGTCTCCCAAGGCAAACAGGTCCTGGGTGAC